AAGGGGGAAACACTGGGCACACTCAGCAATCACGGAATGACTGTGAACCACCACTGCAGTACTCTAAAAGGCAAAGACGATTCAAAATACTGCAGCATTTCCAGCAGTGATAGGGAAGTACTGATACCATGAATGGTACAGTGCTCTAGCAGGATATCATTTGGATGCCAGAGAGCACTCTGGCCATCAGTGTTCAAGAGCCAAGGATTTATTTTATGGGAGAAGGTGGAAAAGCTTGCCTCTTTTAAGGAGATAACAGCCAGTGCAGAATAGGTTTGATTTTATAAACGCTGAGCGAGAACTGTGTAAAATAACAGGGAGCAATGGGAACAAGCTGCTCAAGAGCACACGGATGTGACAGGGACCCAGCAGGAGAGGACTGTGGGGACATGTCCCCCAGGTGCAGAGAGGTGAGGGGCTGGCTGAATGTGCCAGTGGAGATACCGAGAAAGCTGCCTGCCCCCACCCTGTGGCTGCCAGTCCCTGCCCCATCAGTGCCACAGCAGGGTGGGTCCTCAGCTCCACATAGCCCTGCTCTGCCCAGGATCAGGTCCTGCTGATCTGCGCCAGCCAGCAGAGCCCCGAGCATGGGGACAGCAGAACCACACAGCTTCCCACTGCTCAGGAGCTGCCTCAGCAGGAGCCTCCCTGCACAGCTGCTCTCTCCATCAAGTACCCAGCTCAGCCTGGTTTCCTGGGCACTCACACTGAGGGGTCCAGCAGCCACAAGCCTCACAACCAGGAAAGTGCCCTGTTGCAGCAGTGCTTGCTGCTGTGTGCATAGCCAAGAGACAATCGTGACCTGGAGGAAATGGCAGCTCCCCAAATACAGTTTGAAGAAATTTCAAGAGCTTGAATCAAGTAACTTAAAATCTTGGATTTAGGCTTTTCACTTCAGACATGGTGATATGTCCCACATCAACAGCCACCTCAGGCTCTTCTCCAGAAAAAGTGGGAAGACTTCAGGGTAAAGGGAAGCCCAGCAGATTTCAGACTGACATTATGACTTTTAACAACAAAGGATATATTTTACAGCCATGAAAAATGCCAAAATAAAACCTTCAATTGCGGTAAATAATGCAACCAATTTTGGTGTTTTCTCTCCCTCTCTCTCTGGCTTTTTTCCTTTCCTTTGTTTGCAGCCAGATCTCTCATGGCTGCTGTTGCTTCCTTTCTCCAGTTGGTGCCTCAGCTCTGCTATGACCTTTGCTGTCCCAAAGCTCCAAGCTGATAGCCTCTCTGTGCCCCCACTGCCCCGGTACCTGCCTTTGGCTGCTCTCCAGCCAGCAGCTGGCTGGGAACCATGACACAGCTTTGTTTGTCCAGCAGCTCTGCTGCTGTTTGTCTTGCTCAGCCCCTGGCACGCTGGGCAGTACTTACATAGTCGGTCAGCCTGGGAACTCACGTAGTGATTGGTGAGCTGCAGGTGTGGAACCCAGCGGCTGGAGCTGGAACATCCAGCAGTCGTCTGCAGCATTCAGCACTGCAATGCCTGAATGTAGGGACCTGGCCACAGTGATGACTCAGAATCCTAAACAAAGCCGTCAGCAGGGAGGGCAGGATCTGATCTTAAGCTCCTAATGGAGGTGATGCACAATGAATCCTTGGAGAAGGCAAGAATGAAGATGAAACTGCTCCTCTCTGAGGACAACCTGCACTAATGCAGGCTAGGACACAGATTCCTCCTCTGTATCCTCCCCAGTCCCATTGCCAGCATCCTTATGGCAGTGATTCCATTGCTCCTGTGCTTCTGACCTGGGTGTTGCCTGGGGAGCCTGGGCTTTAAGGACTGTACAGGAGACCTCTGCCAACGTGACTCCACACCCTGGCACAGAGGAGCTAACTGATACAGCTGCTTCACCACATCCCAAATGGATCTGGGTGTAAAGGCCGCTTCTGGACCTTCTTCCCCTCCATCCTTTTGTTTCACACATTCTTAAGGCAAAGGGTTCAAAAAAGGGAAGATTTAAAATTTGTGGGGATCACTCCTATTTCATCCTCTTATCTTTTGTAGGGGTTAACTGGGTCCAACCCACTCGCAGACAAAAGGGACAACCTCTTCTGCATGTTGGTGAGCCTCGCTAATCTAAATATTTTGACAGGAGTTCCATAGAGTGCAGAAGCAACAGTGTTGGCTGCAGCTCCCTTCACTGACTCATCGTGCAGGGAGAAACTTCATAGGGCTCAAAATAGAGAAAACTTTCAGTTCTGCTCATAGCACTGCACAAATACGATGAAGGTGTGGGGGTCACATCCTGGGCTGCAGGAGCTTTTGGGTCCTTCTGAGAGCCAGGGACAGCCTTGTTTGCTCTGCCCTGAACCCCTGCATAGAGTGTTCTAGTTGGACTTGAAGCTGTCCCTGCATCCCCACGTCTCCACTTGCTCAGACAAGTGTGTGTGCAGTTTGCCTGTGTGCTGTGACTGAGTTTGGCAGGAGCAGGGCACGTCTCCCCTACAGCTCCTTGCAGAGTGGAGACAGCAGAGCCACCACCCTCCCCTTCCATCTGAGGATGCTTTTGTATGAAGCTGCAGGACCACAGGACAGGGCCACTGGTGTGACTTATGTCTGTAAGAAGCTGCAGTGAGACAGCTGAGCTGCAATAACGGGCTCAACACATGCCCTTGACTGGAGGCTAATGCACCACAGCCTGGTTCAGTTCACCCTTCTTTCCCTGAGGCCAAACTCAGTGGCATTACATGGCAGTGCCCTGGCTCAGCTGACACAGCAGGGCTAAGTTTACCTCATCTGAGGCCATCAGTGAACTGCCAACCACAAACTTATGAAAGCTCACTAGGCTAATGCTCTATAAGCTAAATATTTTCTACCTTCTGTAATGAAGGTGTGAAAAAAAAAAATCAATCTTTGTTACTAGAAATATTTGAACAAGTCTGGATTAGTAAGATCTGGCCAAAGTGGCCTTTCTAAATGCAGCTTGAATCTATTTTATTGCTCTAAGCTGGTTTACTGTAAGTTTCAATTATTTGAATTAGATTTAAAATTTAAATGCTGTGTTTATACTTCATCCTAACTTCAGGTTTTGGGGGAATGTTTTAACATTTGGCTGTACTCTGCATTTCTCTGACAGCCCAAGAGCCCATCCTCACATGCAGGTAGCACACAGCATCTGCTGGGACAGGAGAACCTGATAGTTAAAGCTATGGGTATAGGATCCATATTATTTCTTAGAGAGTGCTTTGCTTTCAGGTCTGATGGCTTCACTAGTGATCTCTCTTGGCAGAGACATGTCTTGGGATTCTGCTGTCTGTGCTGCCATTTAGTAGGTCAGTCTGACAAGATCTTCTAGAATCTAGATTTACCATCATTTCCACATAGAGTCTGATCCTGATTTTAATTTTGTCATCTTGATTTCAGTGAGAGTTTGTTAATTCAGATGTGTAATCGGCCCTGTGCCGTACAGAGGCAATCTAGATGCATCCAGTGACCAGAAGGTAAGGCTGGAAATAAAATACTTGTGCAAGGACCTTCTAACCTGTATTGATGAGCAGCTGTGCCTGGTAGAGCTCTGAAACCAAAGATACTACTCACAAGGGAGACTATTAGTAATCACCTATATGATGGCAAAAGCCAGAGACAAACACAATTAGGTTGCTATTATATTCGGACTACAAGCTCTGTCAACATACTATGCTTAGGAGAATGGGCCTCTGATCCCTGATGCAACATAAATAAACAAGGATTATGGCTGGCTTTGAACATGCAGAACCGTGCAATTCAATACCATTAGCATCTGAAACAACTGGTCCCTGTTGATAGCACTTCTTTAAAGAAAAGCTTAGCAAGGCTGCCTGTCTCCCCTCAATAGATCCCAGGCATCAGAATTAGCAGAATTACTTATTTCTGTCAGAGAAGGATGGCAGATGAGTGACAAGGTCATTAAGGGAACAGAGCCAGACTTTTCCTGCCTTTGCGCTGAGTTTATTCCAGTCAGCTTGTAACTGAATACAGAACCTTGTTATTTATGGCTCAGGGTGCAATAAACCACATTTGTGAAAACATAACCAACTCTTTGGAGGCTGCAAAAGAGACAGAAGAGGAGAAGCTTCATCATTTTGCCTTTTGCAAAGAATGGTTGAACTTCTGCAGATCCGTGTTTGCTTTTCCACGTGTTTGTCTTTACTTCTGAAAGCAGCAGGAGGACACGTGGGGGAAGGCAAACACGGCTGGATGTCTTCACAGCAAACTGAACCTCTACTTCAGCTCTTACTATGGCACCTTTCAGGACAAATCCTCCGTGGCCAATGGAAACCAGACCAACCTGCAGCACTTAAAGTGCTCACATTTTTTCTGCGTTTTAGGTCAGTTTCCTGATAAACCTTTGCAGTTTTCCAAGGGTGTTATATTGGATAACTATTACAAGGAAGCAAATGATTTTTTTAAAACAGAAAGATTTCAATGCCCATCAGATCTGCCAGAGCTGAGACATCAGAAGGATGACACCTCATGCTGTCCTGCTGTGGCAACAGGCAAGGATTCTTTGTGGTGACAGCTTATGCAAACCACTCAAGTTCTAGCCCAGTGCTAAAGGAGCAAAGCTAGGCTTCCCGAAGGAATCCTCTGAGCAAACAACTCCCCTCGTTCAGCCCCAGCTGTCAAAACAGGTCACCTATCAGCATGGCATATGCCCTGATGCCACCAAATCATGATTCTGTGCAAATTCTTTACTGGAACTCATACACCTGCAAGCTTTTCTTTCTTCTCAGAACGTATTAATTCACACAGAAATCAGCGCAATATCAGCTTCATGTCGAAACAACTAGAAATTTAGAAATTAATGAAATTATTTGCTGATGTCATTTTTCTCCTTCATTCTGTGCCTTGCATGCTACATTCTACATTAGTATGTTGTAGTTACAACATTGATTTCTGAACAAGATATTTTAGGGACAAAGATACAGGCACACCTGCGAGTAAAAGAAAAATAAGGAAATGACAGTGCTACTGCTCTGTTTAACACCAGACAGTGTTTTATGGCATATTTAAAAAAAAAAAAAAACAAAGCCCAAAACAAACAAAAGCAAATCACAAAACTCCCAAGGCTGTTAGGGTATTAGGTTACAAACTGCTGTAGGAATAAATATTTGCATAGACATAATGAACTGAGAGATTGAAAGTACTAAATAAGTTCAAAACATGCATATTTGCATTACCTTTTTGTTCTGAAATAAAAGGGTAATAATAGTGCTGAATTGGTTTATATCCTTGGTTAAGTCCTAATTCAGAAAATCCTCGCTGGTATTTGTCTCCCTGCTTTGCCTGGATGTTTCGATCAAGTGCAGGACAGCTTTGAAACACGCTCGCTTTGAAGCCTGGAGTTTATTTCTGGATCACCCCATGATCAGCGAATACAAGCCAAAATGTAAGTTGTTCCCAATCTCAGATTTCCTGTTTGAAGGTGCACAGCAGAAACTTGTACCAATCCTAAAGTTCTTTGTTGTATTATCTGAAGAACTTCATCAACATCCTGTAGCTAAATGACACAAAGCTGACCTTTCTATTACATCATTATTTATTGTCCCTGACATGTAGACCATATATGGATATGTTTCTGGAACCTAAAGAAGAAAAAAAATTGCCATATAATTTTGAAATAAAATATGCTGTCCTGGAGAGTTTTACTTGCCTGGGGAGAAGTGACCTCCATTTACTTTTGTTTTAGCTGATGCTTATTAAACAAAACAACCAAACATTGCATGGGTATTTACTGATGTCTTGGAGTTGTTCATATGTTTCTAAGGCTGCAAGTTGGAGACTTCAGGATTCCAAAATATGACAACAGCACTTGTGAACCCGTTCCAAGTAGTATTTGTAAAAGCTTACTAGTGGAAAAGGACTGCTCTCATACCACCTAAATGTGAACAATAGACTCTCTCTCAGACTCCTCAAGACCATAAATGTGAAGTGGCACCCATCTTCCCCACATCTGGAAGAGGGCAAGCTGGCCAAGAAGGAGATAGCACTGATCCAGGGATGAGTTAGAAGAAAAGAATCAGGCACATATAGAACTGACACTTGGATTGTTCTGGATCGTGGAAACAATAATACTCACTTTGGGAAAGTTTCCATGTGTTTGTCCAGCTAATACAATGAATGAAGGGAAACCATAATAGGATATCAAACTTTTGCCTGTGAATTTTCCTTCAGCTCCTCTTTCACTCATTCCCATCGCAAAACATTGCATATACAGAGAATAAAGCCTAGATGGAAGTGGGTCTGGAATCCTTTCTGAGTACCTTGTGGAGGCTCAGGTTTACTGTAGGCATGAACAATGCATGAATACATGAATACCCCCATCTAAGGCTTAGCAAGGGCAATCTTGGAGGGAAAAAATGTAGCAAGACCATATCATCCACTAATATATGATTCTTTTCAATTCATTTGCTTTGTTTTTAGAGTCTTTCAGGACCAGCATAATTCCCTCCCCATGCTTGGTCCTGAATCCATCTTGCTCCAACATGACATCATGGTGAGTACATGGCAAATCTTCCTTCCCTGCTCTCTGGAAAAGTATCAGCCCCTCATAACTAGCACTGGAACTATTTTGTCCAAAGTTAAGTCATTCAGCAGTTATTGTGAAAGACAAAGGAGCCCTGGATGTCATCACCAAGTGTGAGAAACTCTTATGCCCTTGACAAGATGTCAGCCAACCCTCTGTGACTTTTAAACAACACCCAGTGCTTTTTTCCTTGATACCATTTCAAGATTGTAACTAGCCTAGGCTTAAAACCAAGAGTATCTCCCACATTTAACCCTTCTGCTTGCTTTTTGGCAATCTCTCACCCTTGATCACTGAACTCAAGAAAAATTGCTGATACGGATGCAGGTTTGTGCTTTGCAAAGGCAAAGGTGTATGAGTTTCCCAGGACAGTCTGTTGGATTATCAAAAGGCGTTGGGGCTCAAGGTCCCCTGGGCTATGTACCTTGCAGGTGGCTCCCCATGCCATTAACAGCAAGCACACTGCAGTTCCCTTCCCTCCCACATTTCTGGGCTTCCTTGAAAAACTCCGTGCAGCCTTGATGTATTTGAAGCTGCTATGAATGCTGATGCACCATTTTCCAATAAAAGCATGGGACTCTGCTTCAGAAGATCTATTTTCAGATACCATTAACTCTCCCTTTTGTCTTGAGTAAATCACTTAACTCCTCTGTGTATCATTTTCTACATTAGTGAAGTGGAAATAATCAAATGCATTAACTTCAGAGAACAGTCCAAAATTCCTTGCAGATGGGAAGCTAATGGGACTACTTATATGGATAGAGACTGCTGAATAAGACCTTATTTAATTAGTATTTGTGAAATCCTCAGAGGGCAACCTCATATAAGTTTGAATTTTAATTACAGAAATAATGCTATACAGAAATGAAATAATACATTTGGGGGTTGATTTTTTTTCCCAATAAAACAATATTGTGTCTTTATTACAACACATCCAAGGCATAACAATAATGATTTATTCACATTGCATCAGATTGGATAATATTTCCCCTGGGGCATGCAAAGTTACATATCTGCATTTTCAGCTTGACTCTGAGACATTTCAATAAATTACAAATGTCACCTGCAAAAATAAATATGTAAATTTACACTATTTTCTGGGACAGATTTCAATTTCAGACACTGCATATTAGATCTGTTCACTTCCTTTAAATAGAAGTGATGGAAATGGCCAACTCATGCTGATGGGGGGGAGTCAGCCAGGGTCTCACAAACAAGGCACAGTAGAAGAGATTTGAATCTGGGGGAGAAAAGAAGGATGACCATGTGAAAACAAATGGCAAAATAATCAGCAAGATTGTTTTCTCCTTCATATTTCCTCAAAATAGCCAGAAGAAGCCAGGTTAGGAAAACACATTTAAAATTCCTTTCTACTTCCACTAGCTGAATTAATTAGCCCATCATCACTGCTAAGCCCTTCAGCTCTGCTAAGCCACACAGCTGAATCTGGCAGCTGAGGCTGGAGGAAAAAACCAAAGTTTGTTTGTGCAGCCCAGGAGATCAGTGAGCTTGTTACTGACTCATTCTGTGTGCAGAGCTGCCACAGATGTGCCTTCACGTGATGAAGTGCAGGTGAGAAAGGACATCAGCACAAACTGTCTTCCACAGGCTGTATCTACCAATGGTGACTAATGCTACTGCATCCAAACACTTGGCACATGTGTGGCTATTCTGAAAGGAAGAAAGTACTGACTAGTTCTGAGAGTAACACTTCCTGGACAGAAAATCCTCAAAATACTTTGCCTCAGGACACACATCTCTTTGTGCACCAATTACCTGTAACTGTTGTCTTATTACTTAGATCTGGTGTGAATTTTTTACTGCAGAAAGACAGCAAGGTATTTTGAGTGGCACATTTCAGTGAGAGCATAGAGATAGAGTACACATCCTTTACCACAATATCCAGTGAGCAGAGCTTTGCATTCAGAGTTGCCATGCTGTGCTTCCATCAGACAGTCCAAAAGATTAAATGTGAACACCAGAACTGCAAGCACCTCTCCTGTGCCCCCTGCTAACAACCCATGTTCAAATAATGAGAATATAGAAACTCTCTCAACAAAAGATGGTTTCAATTTCCTTTGCAAGAACAAATGATTGCTTTGGCCACAATACCCTGAGAGAGGTGAGGAGCCAGAGGAGCTTGTATGGGAAAAGGTGCAGGATGTCACACATGCCCAGGGGTAATGAATATGATAAACATTATTCCTTACTGACTTTGTTGCCTAAGTACTTCTTTGCTGGAAAGATGTAGCTGTTTTGAGATCACTCTACCAAGATTATAATTCTCCTTTCAGGATGAATTCATCCAACTTCGATGGTTGCTGACACACAGTCTGAATCAGGGTGCACTTTGCCTCAGTGTATGATTTCCACCTCTGCGCAGTGGCTCCTCACAGAAGATTTTTTCCTTTCAAACCTAATCAAAATGAAGTCCTCAGTCCTCTGGAAATGTGACATGAGCACCAAGGGGAACACCCAGAATCCAGGTACTAAGACCACTTCCAGGTATCCGATGACTCAGCCCTGCCAGTGAGCTTTGTAAGAGTGTACAACTACTACAGTCAATGCCACTCTGCAAATGTCACCATAAGGTCACAGCCACTGACTCAACCTGAAGGAAGAATCAGTCAGAGGGAACATGAAAATCTAATATGAAGTGAACACAACCCAAAGACTGTATAAACAAATACATGTTCCTTGGAGGAAGAGGGAAATCACAAACATTATCGTTTAGTTCTCTTTGCTGTGCAAATATCATTTAACTTACGTTATAATGTATGTTAGTAAGAATTCTAATGAAAGACTTGCCTTTGCCTTGACCTTTACAAAATCCACAAAATTCAGAAATACTGTTGCAATCCCAGGGCTCTGAGGCTCCTGCAGAGGTGCAGGAGGATGGGAATGGCAACCTGAGACACAAGCTGCTGTGAATAGCAAAGATCCTGAGAAAAACTGTCTCCAAATTGATGGAAAGATGAAGCTAATTTTTATGGAAAAAACTTTTTCATAGGTTTTTTATAGAAATCCTTACATATATGCAAGGCTGTTCACCTCTCCATTCAGTCTCTTAAGATAGTTTATTAACAAAATTTCTTTTGAAGCTTTTCTGAGGTACCCTCTAATTCCTTTCAGACTGATTTGTTTCTAACTACTGTGCCTGCTGTATACAATAAGACCTATTGCAGTGCTCCCCTTCCTGCAACAAAATGAGAGGCTTTCTGCATACGGATCTGTCTTTGCTTTACTCTTGCCATAGATAAATAGACCTCAAACAACAAAAAATGTCCCTGCCTAAATTCAGCAGCTTGCAGTGATGTCCATAACTCTTACCACAATGAAGGCCAAGGAATTACAGCTCCCTATATGCTTGGAGAGAAGCTAAGGCAGGACCTGGCAGAGCAGCAAGGCAGAGCAGGACCGTCCTGCACACAGCCCCACGGGAGGGGTGGCTGGGTTGGGCTCTGGAAACAGGGGCTCCAGCCTGGCTTGGGATGGATGCTGGAGGTTGCTTCTGACCAAGTCAGCTGGAAGTGACTCTGCTGCCACGGCACTCAGAGGCTGAAAGCAAGGGGACAGATTGTCCTCCACATTGATCCTGCTATGCTAGCCCACTCCCCTGATGAGGTGGCCAGGCCTGGGACATAGGTGGTTGTGTGCAGACAAGAGCAGCAGAGGCTCCAGAATAGGCTGTGCTAAACGAAACTGCATCACCTCTCTATTTACCCAGTGCTGGTTTTGTGTGCTGTCAAATCTGTATGTAATAAATGCAACACCAGAAGCCCTGGTCAAATGAACTGTCCTTTATATTGCCATGGAGAAAGCTTCCTTGTCCTGGACTGACTGAGCATGCAACCAGAGAGGAGCAGAGGTTTATGCCTCCTTTAAGTTCAAATCACAAAGCAACAGGTTTGATTCACAA